GAGTTAGTAGGTATCTATATTTTTCCTATACCTACATGCAAATTCATATGATATCAGAGTGTATGTTTTTGTATATTATAATATTTATTAAAAATGTTTCTCATTCTTCAAGATTTATTATTAATTATTCTTCAAAGTTAAACTTAATATCCTTAATAATCTCAAAATTGTATTGATGGTGCAAACATATTCTATTGATTGGTGTTTTTATTACTTGATGCTTGCCTTTCACTTTATATTTAAAATGTAATAAATTCTTGTCCATGTATTTCTTATAATCTAAAAATTCTACCTCCATGCACTGAACCGTGATTAGTTTTGGTTTGGAACAGTTGTCATTATCAGTTGTTCTCTGTGACGTAATCACTAAAATCGTTTATCTCGTGGTTGCTCTCGTTATTGTTTTGTTTATGTTACCAGTAACCAAGAATTCAATTTACGTCCGTTCATCGATCGGTTTATTCTTATGGAAGTTGCTTGTGTTAGTGACTAGTTGCAACTGCTATCCGTTATTGTGTTTGTCCTTATTGTTTTTATGTTTGTTGCGTTTTTCGCGCCACATTTTTCCTTCCCGCTGCGCGTCGCTCGTGGCGGACGTCGGCCACGCCCCTCGCCGCCGGTGTAACGGTTTTTCGACACAACTCCGCTCGACTCGATTACTCGACCCCTACACTCGTTCTTCGCACCGACGCCGTTCGCGAAACATTGTTTCCTCGACTCCGAATCATCCTAATGTATAATTGTTTTTCTTAGCTTATGTTTTAATCGTTGCGTGCTCGCCTTTTTCTTCCGTCAGCTGGCGATCACTCGTACCATATTTTTCTTGTAAATAAACGTTACTTTTAATTATCATAAACCTCGTGTATTGGTGTAACCCGCCAAATGTTGTATGCCGCAGCGTTTGTATGTCACAATTCAATCGTCACCTCTATTAACGTAAGTAAAATCCTATCAGTACTTGTGTTAATTTCCATCTGTTCTTTGATGTGTGGACTTTTACTCTTGTGGTTAGTGTATTTTTTTTTAGTTGTTATTGTTTTGTTGTACCTATTCTGCTGTTGTATAATGAAGTTTTATCTGCACTTCTAATAACCCAAGTTAACATCTATATTTATAGTTCCGTCTCTGTTGATTTGAATTTTCAACATGACCACACTCAAAACCGATATGATGTCATTGTTTTTATTTTATCATCTGGAATTCATTCATACTTTCACATTACTTACTAAAATATTAAACCATAATTTACCGTTAAAAAAAAAAAAAAATGATTTTAAAATTTTATAAGTAACCTATATAAAAACGTTCCAAACCTACCTCTATTATTCAAATAAATCATTCATTGATATTCAACATGATTTATTGTTTTTCTGAGTATAACTCAATACAATCTCAAAATTATGTCGATGGTACCACAAAATGACAAATATTCTGCAGCTTAAATAACTAAATTTGTTGTGGTCACATTCCAGTGAATTTGTGTACTCTACTGTATTCAGACAATTTGGAGTTTTGTTATACATGTTTTTTATTGCGATGTTTTTATGATTTTCTTTAAAATTTGATCTTAAATGATTATAAAGGAATAAATATTACTTTAGGTATACTTAACTTCTTTTTTTTTATTACTAAATTCAACTTTTCATGATCCTTGTGTTAAATTTTCTAATTTAAATGCCCCTAAAAATAGATCAAAAATATTTTTAAAAATTTATCATTTCTAGAAAAGGCCAATATTAGTGTTATGTGAAAATTTCATGTTTACAAATATTTTAATTAGGAATATAGGAAAACAACAAAAACACAAAATTGAAAGTATTGAAATTATTTTTGTAAACTTGTATAAGTTTCTCTCTATATTTTTTCCTGGTTATGCTTAGTTGTTAAAAAATTATTTTCTAATTTACCAACTGGATTATAAATACAACTAAATGTGATTTATTGATTTGTTGCAAAATTTCTGATATAAACAAAGAATATTTTTGAGTGCTGATTTTTTTTTTTTAAATTTGTTTTGGAAAAAATTGTAGGTATTTAAAAAAATAAAAACTAACATAACCATAAATCACATCAAATATATTCTTTTTAAATTGTTTTACAAACAAATCTATTTCTCATAAACTATACCGTAACTTCTATAGTTTACATGCATATTGTTTACTTGTAGTTCACATATGCTATTTCACTTGACCAAATTTATTATAAGGCTATTTGTTTTTTGTATCCCTGAATTGTATTATTTAATATAGTATATTTATTCTTGAACATTTTAGAAAATAAACCTATTCCTAGACATTAGTAATGACTATAGACCGGATTTAGATTTTACATATTGTTATTGAGTTTATGCAGTCATATTTTGAATTCGCAAGAAAAAGTTATTTTGCATATTTTGGTATATTTTGTAAATTGTGAGTAAAAAAAAATGTATTTAAATAATACAGTACCTGAAAAAATATATTTTTAATATATATTATTAACATTTAAAATATTTTATTTTTTATATCATTTTGATTAAAAAGCTTAGTGTTTAGTATCTACCTATTATAAGTTACCGTTCACTAAATATGGTAGCTAATCTGCAATGCTGGCAGTTGTTTTTATACTAATAATAACTCAACGTATTTGTTTATCATTAATCATTATCAACTATTCAAATGTCCAAATAATATTTTGTTTTGCACTTTTTCAATTACGTTTAACGTCTGCTCGGTCTGCCTTGTGCGTTAATTTGATAGATATCCAGGCGTGTTTTGGCGAATAACTACATGTAGCCGGGTTACTATATTCTATAAACAAGTCTGTTCGTCAATCTTATCTAATCTTTTAACATACATCATTTTAATTTATTAATTCATTTTTACTATAGGCTATACACGTATAAAAAGTACATATTTCTATTTAGGTATTTGTAATTAACCACTCCCCCTCCCATTTACTCAACAACAGTTTACCTATTATTATTTAATTTGAATTTAAAATTATATTCTGCTATGAATGAAAATGCAGTTTCAAATTCATAATTAAATATTTATAAAATACAAATTACAAAAATAATATATAATTATAGATTTTAAAAAATGTATAAATATAAAACTACATAATAGAATGGAAGCCAGAAATCAGAAAAACTTTTTAACATAGTTTCAAATGCATCATTTTATCAAGTCATGGTGTTCTTTATATGATTTCTGTTCATACATGATTCCAAAAAATGTCTGTTGGTTCCAAGAAAGTTTATTTCCCCATTTAGCAGAACCTTTTTATGTTTTGACTGTGAGCCTTTGTATAGAGATAAACAAAGTGTGGTTAACAGTAGTATGGTGTAATCTCACTTCCCATGAATTGTTGAGGATTTTCCAACAATTAAATTAAATTATTGAGTTTGGTTTGGTTTATTTTTCCATAGTAGGTAAACTAACAATGTTTTCTCCAAATGATCAGATACTCTCACTGTAGGGAGTGAAAACTTTATAGTCTCTCCATTCAGATTTGTTATCACCCCACTATCCATATAATAATAAATACATCATATAAATATAAAATAATTCAGTTCTTAAAACAATTACTGTCTGGTCAAACAATTTTATTCCATAATACCCACCAAAAACATAACATGTAAAAAAAAAAAAAGTATTAGAAATTATTTATTGCCTATAGGTAAATAGTTAAAAATTATTTTGAAAATTTTACCTTGTCTGGAAAAGGCTAATATGAATATTCTNTGAAAATGTCATGTCTCTACAAATATTTTCAATTGAATTACAACAAAAAAAGGACTGACATATTTCGCACGTGAGTACAGCCACTGTTGTAGAGGGGAAGGTAGGATACAGATATTTATGTCAATGTCTGTTTCCATGACAACAATGATTGTTTAAAAAATTAGTAAGAACCTAATAATTAAAAAAATAAATAAAAACTGCTGTCAATGGCAACTTTAATTTTTATCTTTCAATTTTTTTTAACCTAAAGAACAAGATTTTGCTCATATTGAATATTAATGAGAATTTTAAAAAATGATTTCTAAAAACCACCCAGAGAACATTCGCTAAACTCAGAATCTAAAACAAAATTGAAAATAATGAAATTATTAAGTTTGCTCTACTTTTTTCCTGGTTTTGCTCTATTATCTATAGAAAAATGACTATTCCTCACCAATTTAATTAAAAATGCAACTAAAAGTCGAAAGTTATTTTATGATTAAAGTAAAATTTCTGGCAGAAAAGGAGAATATTTGTGAGAGCTGTTTTTTTTTTTTTATATTTGAAGAAAAAATATTTGCTAATTAAAAAAATATAAAACTAACATAACATAAAGGATTTCAAAAATATTCTTTTTCCATCATCTTTAAATTGTATTATTTGTGTTTAATCATTGTATTTCTCATTTATTTCTACCATTAATTTCTAATTAATAAAGACCACAATTTATATTCTATGTAACCTATATTTTATACGATACCAATTAATGTATTTATTAGAATCAAAAATACTGATATCTTACATACACTAATTACTACATAATTGTTTTTTAAAACTACATTACATTCATAAACATCACAAATGGCTTCAATACATTGACAATATGTCACTATGTACACTGCTCTAATTATTTACTTTATTTATCTATGTACTAACAAAATTGAATGATACCTATCAGATAGAAAAAAATAATAATACAAATACATTCAAGTAAGCATCAGTTTTTGAATTCTGATGTTTGTTCTTGGTTTGTTGATGTATTTTTATATTTAGTTTTTTTAAGAGAACTTTAATTTTCACTGCATTGATTGTCTCAGTTTAACTAATGGACAACATGGCAAAGTAACATTACTTAAAATTTAAATTGTTTAAGAATAGATTCCAATGCATATAAATAATTTGATTTTGATAATAAAATACAGCCGTGTTAGTTTTTAAATTTTTTAAATTATTTTAACATTAATTTGGCAATAATATGTGATACCTACCCAACCTAAAAGTACAAAATTATTCTAAGAGTGTAAAATAATTTGTTTTTAAAAGTATTTTATTATAATGATTATTGTAAGTAAAAATAAGTATGTATTCATAGTATAAATATGTAATTATAAAATTACAGGTACTGATCCTTATTTTAAATAAAGTATGGCTCAATCTCAAGATAATAAAGAATCCATAATGAAACCTATCAATCAAAAAGAGGACATTGAACAAGAAAAAGGTAAACATGCCAAAATTTTTCGATAAAATAATTAATGAGTTAAATACTAATTGTAAAATATTGTGTTTAAATAGATTTGTCTATGGTTAACTATGAAGATGATGAAGATTTTGATGACGCATTTAAAAATTTATTACGTCCTATTGAACTTATAGCAAGAGCAAATTCTGTTGAATTTGTCCGCTTTGATCTTGTTAAGGTAATTTTTTCAATATAAAAATAGAATAATAACATATAATTTTTAATATTCATATTTATTTTAGGAATTGGATTCATATTTAAGTCATTTGAAAGAATCTCCAGGTGAAGAATCATCCACATTTGTGGAAGCTGCATTAATGATACAAAATGTCAATGTCATTTATCAAAAGAAAGTTGATGAAGTATTTGATGAAACAATGAAACTTCGTGCAAAATTTAAAGCTTAGTGAGTAAACTATTTTTGTTTTCAACAGCAGTTTTAATAAAATTGAGTCAATAATAATTAAAACAAATTCATAAATATCATAGGCTCCTAAGAGTGTAAGCTTCTTTGGTCTTAAGCTTCATTTCCCCCCCCCCCTTACCTCAAAACAATTAGTTTTTATGCAAATAAGTAATTTTAGATTCTGGGCATATTTGTTTTACTAAGATTTGTTGTTTTTTTTTTTATGTTTGTAAACAACTTCTACTAGAAATAGTATATTTTTTTCATTTTTATTTAACATAAAAAATCTATATAATTTAGCATAATAAGTTTATATGATAAGAGTAATTAAAAAAAAAATAATATGAAAGATGTGATAAAGTAGCCACCCATATTACAAATATTCATAGAGAATTGACATTTTCGCAGAAAACTTATACTTGCTTTTTTTTGACAGTGTAAAGTTTTCTAAACATTTAAGCTATTTATAGACATTTACATTTTTCGAGTTTTATTGTACTTTTTTTTTGGTAGCTAGGTAGGTACTCAGTAGATGAAATTGTTGACTAAACAGAAATGCTTGAAAATATGGTAGGAGGTTTATTGTATAATCATACTAAGTGATTAAAAATTAAATATTCAGTGTTTTGTAATTTTTTTTTTTTTTTTAATGAGTTTAAATCAATTAAAATAAAAATAAAAATCATCTTATATATTTTAGCATTTCAAAAAATATTTAACAATTCATCACGTGTGTGCGTGTGTGTGTGTGTGTGTGTGTGTGTGTGTGTGTGTGTGTGTGCGCGCGTGCGTGTGCGTGTGCGATGAAGTGGTGTGAGTAAAGGCAGGAATGTATTGGCTTTACAATGATGTTGGTTTTTATTTTATTTTTTCCTGTGAACAGCAATTTTACTCCAATGTACCATGTAGCAATTTTTTAGGGGTAATTTTTTGATTATCCCAAAATAGAAAAAAAATAGAGGAAAAACAGGAAAATAGGTATTCTATAATATTATTAAATTAACAAAAATTATCAAAGAAAATATGTAACATATATGTAATCATTTTACCATAATATAATATATATTATTGATAAAGCAACACTAATATATTTTTGTGAGCAACTGTTAATTTTTGTTTACAGATATACATTAAATTCCCTATAACAGTGGCTGCACCCATCCCCATTATCTTAGGACGGCTTTTTAGAATATGAAAGTTATCTAAAAGTTGTGTATAACTAACTTAAATAATATTAGTTATTGAATTTTTATTTTCTTGAAACCTTAGTATTGTGTTACATTTGCTATTAATACAACATATTCTGAAAATATGTTATTAAAATGTTGCTTTTGTTAATTTAGGTATTTAAATATATATATTAACTTAAACAATATCTTAATTATTTTGTAGGCGTAGGTACCAATTTGGTAGGTAAATGTGGGTAATTTACATATTTAAATTATCAGAAAGTAGTAATTCATTATTGGCTTGCTCATTTCTCTACTCTTAAGATAATTCAACCCATCTATAAATAATGTTAAACAAATTGATATTATGATGTGATTTTTAATATAAATAATATTGATCTATTATATTGAATACTATACTCTAGTCGAACAAATACAAATGAGATTGAAGATGTTGCTGATATTGTAGAAGATAAAAAGAAAAGAGTAGAAAAAAGGAAGTTTTATTCTTCTTTTGAACCAATTGAAATCGAATTAGCTCCAAGTACATATTATGTTTATAACTAGTTATGAATAATTATTAGAGAATATACATTTCATTTGAATTTACATACATTTAACATTTTAAATTAATTAATTTAACCTTCTACTTTTATTTAAATAATTAAGTGGGGTTGTAATTACCTAGTTGATAATTATTTTAAATATTCAGTAAAAAATTTATTTTTTTGCGTTAATATTAATTTGTAACAATAATTATTTAACATGGACATTATAAATTTATTTTAATAAAACAAATTCAGAAATTATATAATTCATCTATAGCTCTGATAATTAATCCATAAAAACATTCAAATTCTTACAAAATCATAATATTTGTTTGTTCATTTTTAAGGGAAAATATTTGATTGCAAAAAAATAGATGTGAGTAAACTGCCACCCTTGCCAAATTTTGTACTTAACACTAATATCAAAGTAACTAACAAGTACAATTCATTATTGCCTCGTATTAATGTTGAAAATGGAGAAAACATTGGAAAGAAATATGACTTTAAGTAAGAATATTTTTAGAAATTTACAGTTTGATATTGTATTATTATTCATATTTTGTTTATCATAGGATGAGTGGCATTGTAAATAGTCGATTGGCTGTAATTGAATCGACTCTTTGCATTTCTAATCGAGTTAATAAAAAATCGAACTATCTAACTTATTTGGAAAACAATGATCCAGTAAATATTTTATTAATAAACAGTTTTAATGATGTTAATTTTTAATTAAATACTTCTTACAACATTCAGTTAGAAATGGATTTCATGGATGTGGATGAAGTATATTCTGATGAAGAAATGAGGCCCGACAGTCCAGAGCCAGCTGTTTTTGAACAGACCATAACTGGTAAATTTGGCCAGGCTGAAGCCACTGAAGCCACTGAAGCCACTGAAGCCACCGAAGCCACTGAAGAAGTTGGTGTTGCCAATGCAATGGAACAAAGGTAAATAAAATATATTTATGAATAATTAAGTTGTATGATAATGATATTATTTTACAGCCCAACAAAATTAGTGAATGTCCATCAAGTATATAACGTATATGAAACAAGTGCATGGTTATCTGTTAAAAGCCAGGAGGATAATTTTTATAAAGATAGACGCTTTGTTAAAAAAAATGCTTCAAAAAGAGTAGGTTCAAATATGTATCTATTGCTGGTGTTATAACTAGGCATAATTAAAGATAGGATGTTTATGACAAATAAATGAAAAAAAAAACATTAATTATTAATATCCTAAAAACTTAAATGCAGATACACGGTTTTTTCAAATATATGACAAAAATAATTGTTGTTTTTCTGAAAAAACTTTTGTTATACAGAGATATTTGAGTTAAGTTAAAAACAAAACACTAAATTAATTATAAAGAAACTTCATTAACAACAGACGTACTTTTAAAATTATAACCATTTTCTTAGATGTCAAAATATAAGAAATATGGTCTACCAGGACAACTTCAGAAAATGTGTTTGTAACCAATTCACTTACTAACTAGATATAGACTTGCTGATAATCCTATAACCACGTCTATACCACCAGATACAAACTAAGAAATTTTACCTCTGTAATATTAGTATAGAAAATGTTAAATAAAATTGATGAATCATGAATTACGATTTTATCTACACAATTTTATGGGATTAAAGAAATGTCATTCACCAACATCCTATCTTTAGGCTTAAAAACATTGGTCCATTCAATGTGTTAAAGATGCTCTTTATAAATGATGCTTATGAACATAATATTTAATTTGTACATAATTTTTATAGAAAATGAAAATGTCTAACACGAATAATGATGAATTTTACTTACCAACATATATACCTAGAGAAATGGGTCTAATAACATTTATGCAGATGAAACCAAATACTCCTGATCCAACATTCAGAGACATAATTCGTGCTGTACAAAAAAAAAGGAGATCTGAACTCATGAAATTGAGATACAAGCAAAGGATGGGTATATTTTAGAAATATTCAGTTTAATAATTTTACTTGAATAATCATGTCACCTATAGAGTATAAAAAAAAAAAAAGTTTTTTTGTGGTTGGGGAAGTAATATAAAATTAACTTTAGTATTCTTATTTTTCTTATAAATTTTGAGACCATTACAATGATTCCGGCTAGAACTGAGACTTGTATTATTGTAATATGGTCTAGGCGATTTTTTTTCCTTCGGATTTAATTTTAAAATAAAGTCGGTTTCATATTTCATAGAAAATTGTTTATTCTTTTACCAAAAGATGAGTGCTTGTTCTTCTTGTTTTAAATTGATTTGTGTTGTCATTATATTCATTTAGAGTTACTTATAAAAATGTGATAATTACCACTAGAGACTGTAAATATATGCACTGAAAATATGGTAAATATGCAAAGGAAAAGTGTTAAACAAATGTGCCGAATATGGACTTACAAAATAATTGTAACTATTCAATTGTATAGTTTAACCATGTTGTACTACTATCAAGCATAAAAAGAAAATTAGTAGAATAAATGGTTATAGGAAATAAAAAATAAATAACACAACTTTCATTTTTTTAAATTTTAAAATGAACACTAAATACAAGACTTTAGCGTTAAAATTAGTAAACAAAAATTCTAATATCTGTGTTCAAAGGGTATAGTAAGGTATAATCAAGACTGGGCTTTAATGAGTTAATTAGTTAAAAATGAAGGTTTTTCAACTTTTTAACCTAATTTAATAGTTTGCTATTTTAATTAACTTAGTTCATTTGTCTTATTTGCCCAACTTGAAATCAACTTAAATTTTTTTATTATTCCTAATTAGGTTAATTTTGAATTTTCATATTATTTAGGAAAATATTTTATTTATGACTGTTGTTCATTTAAAATATTTAAACTCCAAAGATTTTAAAATAAAGACATTGGTAATATTTCATATTTGCTTTCACTTCAATTAGGTGTTTTAATTTTTAATATCTCATCAAATTTTTTATATTACCTTAACTTATTAATTAAAGTTATTTTTAGTTAATTGAATATTTCACTTAACTGAGTTAAAAAATATTATTAACTTGCCCAATGTAAATCCTTGCTATTATATAAACCAATAAATAAAAATATTGCACATTTGTCATTTCAAAAATCGCGACTTTTTTTGCTTATATAAAATATTTCATTAAAATCCGTTGAGCCATTTTGGAAGAGTGGGACCAAAAACACCCTGACACGAAATATTTATACATTAGAATACCTCAACTTTTGAAAAATAACATTTGGCCAATGGAATCTGTTTGATTTGAATGAAACCCGCAAATGCATATAATTCCTGTTTCATATTATCACATTCCCGATAAAAGTTAATAATGTACCAATNCCATTTTGGAAGAGTGGGACCACAAACACCCTGACACGAAATATTTATACATTAGAATACCTCAACTTTTTCAGAATATGAAAAATAACATTTGGCCAATGGAATCTGTTTGATTTGAATAAAACCTGCAAATGCATATAATTCCCGTTTCATATTATCACATTCCCGATAAAAGTTAATAATGTACCAATCTAATTTTATGTTTTACTGTTGTATAGAAGCCATCCAAAAATCTGAGCTTGAAGAATCTGCGTCAAATGAATTTAGGATGCCAGTCTATGTGGGTGAATTCGATGATGATAATGATGATAATTATATGTGTGGAATGGATGATGCAGAAGAACCAGAAACTGATCCAATTGTTCGAGAAAATACCCTTACATATCGTATGAATTTAGAACATATGAAAAGATATGAACAAGATGAAGAGGAAATGGTTAGTTGAATTTTATATTATATTGTAAAATATTTATTTTATTTCTCATTTCAGGCAACTGAACATCTGGAAATGCGCAAAAGAGTTCAAGCTTGGCATGAAAACCTTCGTCCAATTTTAGATGAAGAAGAAGAAAAAGAAACTGGGTTTGATATACATGAATATGGAACACAAATATTAAATCGCTTTAGCAAAGTTGGTGAACAGAAATCATTTAGTGAGTTATTTGGAGGAATGGCAAAGGAAGAAGTTTCTGGATNAATTAATTTCTGAATTTGTACTTAAATTATACTTTATTGTAGACCAATACATCCAATTTGAAGATATTAAAACCTGCTGATGGTGAAACAACTATAGAACTGTTGAAGAAGGAAAGACATCATGAAGAACTCCAAGCTAATGTTGGTAATCAAGTGAACAAAGAATAAGACTAATGCATACTATAACATACATAACTTATAATTTTATTTTCCTATTTTTTTTTTCCAAATAATTTTTAGTCTAATTTCTCCCTAAAACATTGAATTAATGTCATATTTATATGAAATCAAAAATAATTACATTTTTTAAATGGCCAATTTCTAATGGTTTGTTTATATTATAAATTTGACATACCCTTTTTTACTATTTTAAACATTATTTTTATTTATTTTAAATTTCTCTTTTAAATATTTTGGGTTTTAAATAAATTTTAGTCTAGATTAGTTTAATATTTAGTTTTCAATAAAATATGTATTGATGTCATTTATATGCAATTTGAAATACTTTGTCTTAAAATGACCAATTGCTTATTGCTTATTCATATTATAAATTTGACATACCCTTTTAACTATTTTAAACATTTTTTTTATTCATTTTAAATTTCTCTTAAATATTTTGGATTTCAAATAAATTTTAGTCTAGATTAGTTTAGCAGTAATTTTAATTTTGAATGTACTAATTATTTAATTGCATTAGCTTTAAATTTCTCCTATTTTTTTTTGTTTTCAAGTAATTTTAGTCTAGATTTATTTTTAAAGTTTTCTATAAATATGAATTAATGTCACATGCATCTGCATTATAAAACTGAGTATTATATATAATTCTCAGTTTTATAATATTTTAGATTTTAATTACTGTATAATAAATTGATTCCTATTTGCTTGATAAAAAATAAAATTACTGCTTTTATGTGCAGAATGATTTCTTAACAAACACCTACTCCACATATGAGTTATACAATAGTAGTTCATGTAATGTACCAAATAACCTTATACAATACATCACTATTTTAAAATTATTGTTGACACAATGGGACTTGTCAAAAAAGCATTTGAACAAGTCTAAAAAAGAAATGTATATGAAATTATATTACTACAGAAATTCAACAAAATTGATACAATGTACAAATAATTATCATATGTCTTAGTGTTCTACATATATTTTTATCGATATAAAAGTTTTCTAGGATTTATAAGTTTTAATATGTTTACACAATAATATAAAATATTTCTTAAGTACCAACTAGAGCCAAAACACAATAAAAAAAGGTCCTCTTGTCGTGTTTTGATTGGAGTAGAGTTTCTAAAATAAATTTTTTATAATGTGAAAATAAAAATAAATATTGTAAACTCAATAAATTTCTGGATTCCATCATAATCTGAAAATAGAATAGGTTAAATTTAAATCCTGTTTATTGCTATATTGTGAGTTATATTTTAACAGATTGATAAGTTTAATTAACTTGTATATTTTCTATAATAAACATAGGTGTAAATGTGCTTATGTACAGGTATTCCCAATACGGCCATGGCCATACCTGCAAAATCAGCATCTTTAGGTAGTCTTTGTATAAATGACACTATATAGCTTTTTTTGTAGGTTCATACTTTGAGATGAGAAAACAGGTTTGTGTTAATGAATATCTTTCTCCATTTATTGAAGAACTTAATGAAATATTAACAAATGGTGTAGAATAAATAATATATTTTGAATACGCATATTTATTTATTTCAGCATTATCAAATAACATATAATCTTATAATATTGAAATTACATTGACAAGGTGATATGTATACCAAATGAGCTATGCTTGTAACTGGTATACAGAGTTTTCATAGTATCAATTCATTCAAAATTCTCAAAAGTAAAATAGAATATCACAGATTTTGATTGAAAGGGGAAAAAAAATTTCGGGTTGTAGTTCATGGACTGCAAGTCTACATGAAGTTTACATTCTGAATGAGAATGCCGATCCATTAAGTAAGTATTTTTTAAAAACATTTTGTCTTATATATGGCCGTGGAAATATCTCCTCTAATGTTCACTCCTTTATTCATTTAGCACAGGATGCCAAAAAATATGGAGTATTAGATATATTTTCTTCTTTTTCATTTGAAAATTATCTTCAATTGCCTTTAATACCTTTTCTATTGTAGGATAACTAGAATATACATAAATTAACTATGAGAAAAAGTAACAAATATACACGACAACCATGCATGATTCTGCAAAACTAGTTTTTATATTTTAACAAAAGAACAAAAATTATAACATACATTTTGAGGTTATTGGTACGAATAATATTATTATCAATAAGAATATAGATAACAATACTTCCTCTTAATCTCAAATGTAAAAAAATATATAAACATATTAAAATAAAAATTAAGTGTTATTCTAATCCAATCGCTTTTCTTAAATTTGAAAATGGAATGGCAGGTAGTGGTTTTGTTAAAATATCTGCCAGTTAATGATCTGTTTGAACATACACTAATTTAATTTGATTTGTTGAGATTGCTTCATGAATAAAATTATATTTGGTATCCAGATATTTCAATCGTTGATGTTTCTTTGGTTCATTAGCTATTCTGGTGCAAAATTGATTATCTTCGTGCATTAATATGTAATATTTGTCTGTGCTAATTCCCATCTTTACAAGAAGTCCTTTCAACTACATTCCTTCTTGAGTTGCAGATGCCAAAGCTAAATATTCTGCTTCAGTCGATGACAAGGCTACAGTTGATTGTTTTCTAGTAGACCAACTAACTGTGGAACTAAAAACTTGATAAAGATATCCAGAAGTAGATGTTTAGTCATCAATATCGTTAACAAAATCAGCATAGACAAAACCTTGAAGTGGATGTATGTTATTGTTCTTAATGTAGGTTATTCCAAAATAAATAGTGCCCTTTAAATATCTTAATACTCTTTTCAAGTGATTGAAATGATCTTCAGTGACTTTAGATTGATGTCGGCTAAAATAATTGATTGCTGTATTAAGGTCCGGTCTGGTTTGAATCATCACATACATCAAACATCCCACAAGTTCATGATATGGTTTCATTGTTGTTCTTTTTTCTTCAAATTTTAATTTCTTCTCCATTGGTGTTAATATTGGTTTACATTTATTCATAACAATTTATGTAGTAGGCTTTCAAGATATTTTGCTTGACTCATTTTTAAAATATTATTATATCGGTCAATTTAATTTCTAAGAAAGATTTTGCATCCCCTTGATCTGTTAGCTTGAATTCTTCATTAAGTAGTTTTCTTAAATTGTTTACTTCCTTCATTGAATTACCAGCCACCAGCACATCATCTACATACAACAATAAATACAAATTATTGTCATCATTAAATTTTACATACAAACATTGATCGGATTTGCCTCTTGTTAAACCTTGTTGATATATGAAATTATTAAAACAATTCCAACAATTTGAAGATTGTTTAAGACCACAGAGTGATTTATGTAGTTTTTAAACCAAAACCATTTTCTTTGGTCAAAACCATCAGGTTGTTTCATTTAAAGCTCTTCCTCTAAAATACCATTGAGAAAAGCTGTAGTCATATCTATCTGATTGAGGGTTAGATTCCTTTGATTTACTATTGCAAGTAGAATTCGTATTGTAATGATATTAACTACAGGTGCGTAGGTATCAGTATAATCAAAACCATTTATTTGTATTTATATCCTTTAGCTACTAATCTAGCTTTGTACCTCAATGGATTTCCTTCTTCATCCAACTTTAATTTGAATATCCATTTATTATTTATGATTCGTTTATTTTGGGGTTTTGGAACCAGTGTCCATGTATTGTTCTCTATTAAGGCGTCCATTTCTTCTAGCATTTCTTTCTTCCAACAATTTTTATCTGGGTGAACTTGAACTTCATCAACATATTTAGATAAATTGTATACATAATTTTGTGCTGATAAAGCTAACATTGCCGTATCATAATCTTTAAATTCTTCTAGTTGTGTTACTTTTCTTTTAGGTCGTGTAGTTTTGTTATTTTATCGTCTTCCTATCTTCATGGTGATATCTTTGGTCTCTTCTTTATGCTCATTTTTTTCTTTTTCAGATTCATCTTCTCTGTAATTTTCTTCTTCAGGTTCATCTTCTCTTATATTTACTTCAGATATTTTACTGATATTTTGATTATCTTACATTCTGTTTTCATTAAAAAATTACATCACGACTTACAAAAATTTTTCTGGTTTCAGGATCCCATAGTCTATAACCAGATTTAATAAAACCAACCATAACGCTCTTTCTTCATTTGGAATCTAATTTACTTAGTTGTTAGATATGTGAGCAAACGCAGCACACCTAAAAACACGAATGTTTGATAAATTTGGTTTATAAACATTACCAAAATTCTGTTGGTGTCTTACTTGAATTTTTAGATGTTGGTAATCTATTTAGTAAATATGTGGCTGTGTTCACTCCATATTTCTTTAAATAACTATAATTGAAATAGTAACAATCGGGTATTTTCTATATTTATACGGTTAGTTCTTTCAGCTAAACCATTCTGCTCAGGAGTGTATGGAGCAGTGTAGTTCACAACAGTTCCTTTTTGTGCGCAAAAATTCTTGAAATTGTGAGATGTGTATTCGCCTCCATTATCACTTCTTAAAGATTGAATTCTTTGTTTAAAATGTACACTTACAACTGCTTCATATTTCTTAAAGTAGTTAAGTACTTCATTTTTATTCTCAGCAAATAAATTATATTAAATCGTGTATAATCACCAATAAATGTTAAAATGTATTTCATACCGTTCCAGAATATTGGACTGATTGGTCCACATATATCACTGTGTATCAGTTCTAGTGGAAGCGTTGTTCTATTTTTTCTTAGAACGAAGGGCTGTCTAGTCTGTTTGATCTCCATACAAACTTCATAAATTGTAGGTAGTTCCTCAGTTTTTCAGTTTGTTCAAATAATCTCTATTTAAATGCCCCATTCGTTTATACTATAATACTCCGTCAATATTTGTCTTGACGCAGTTGTTGACATTAATGATATTATCTCATATCATATTTGGGATAAAAAAGCTTGGTCAGGTTTTAAATAAAACTGGTAAAATAATTTTGCGTGTTTTAGGATAATTTAATGTACAATTTTTTCAATATTATTATTATTAAAAATATGATTTTCATGGATCATAACATTGCAGGTATAATAGTAGGTATATAATGCAAAATAAAAATAGATATTTTTTTTATGAAAAGAATATTAAAGGAAAAAGCCCCCACTGTCAGCTAAATGGTTGTGTGAAATTTGGCCACTAATTTGTATAGAATATTATATGTACACAAATTAATTTGTTGTTATTGGAATAAAGTTGATAACAAATTAAAGAAGATTAATTTTTGTTGGCCTGGGACCAAAAATGTGATTAAGTTTGAACCATTACAGAAATATCCAGTAGACTCCTGGGAAAACTATGATTGCCTTCCTTTAAATTAAATTTTTTGGTTTGTAGTTTTTAATAATACATAACAAAATACTAATGTTAATATGGCATTAACTGGGTTTTTTTTTTTTATTTTGACAGAAACATATGCATTGGCAAAAAATTAATTATTGATTTTTTGCTACATTAGTTAAAGACAAATAGAAGAAACAAGAAACATTAGAAAATGTTATAAAAAAAAACATTTTGACTCATCTAGCAGTGATGAAACTAAATTCATGAAAGAAAAAAAAAATATAATAAACGTTATAATTTTTACTGGTGGTGTTTAAAGTAAAACTTATAACTACATATTAAATTATTTGATTTGTTTTTGTCACTAGAAAATATTGATTCGGATCAAAATGGTAATAGTGATTCAGTATAAAATAATTAATTTAAAAATATTTTTGATGTTATTCTAAAACCAATAGGTAAACGTAATTATTATATATGTTATAGGTACTATACCTTTATAAAAGAAAACAGTTATAACAGTTAATAGCATGACAGTGTTAATGCTATAGTAACACTAATGGATTAACTAATTATATTTATTATTTTATAGATTAGTTTGATTTATTCAATTCAGAAAACAAATCTGAATATTTAAGTATCCCTAATAAAATTATTGTTCCATTTAATCAAATCAATATTTTGCCAAATGTTATATACAATCATTGAGCAGTTATAAATGGTAATCCAATAATTAATAAGATGAAACTGTTCAATTTGATTAATAAATGTATGTTTAATTATTGTTTAGGTATAGATAATTCTGTAGCAAACATAAATACTATTAGATGCATGTTAATGAATAAAGTCATATCTTAAAAAATGGTAAATATTAAATTTTAAATTAAATTTCCTTTATATATTTTATTTAATATTTGTACAGTTTAAGAACAAAACAGCGTTTTGAAAAAAGATGTCCAATACTTGAAAGTCAACTTTACTAGGAATCAAGAATATCTTTATGATATTCATGTAAGTTAATTAGATATACTACTTAAAATCCTAAAAAAAGTTTATTTAATTTTGATTTAATAGAAAAATTAGATATTAACAAGATCTACATATATTCTATAGTAGTTTAAACGTTTAATTATTTTCCGATAACAATTTTTTGCCAGATATTTACTTCAGCTAAACAATCAAAATCAAATTCAATATTAAATAATTCATGTTCACTTTTGGTAAAATGGATTTTAATAAACATAAAATCTATGACAGTAATAAGTAAATTCGTATAATCTTAAATTCTTGTACAGTAAATATTTACTGTTCAGATTTAAGTAAAATTACTACCAGAATTTTAAAAATAGAATCACAGTACACTTTATTAGATGCATTAACATTGTTAAGGTAATCAAATTGTGTCTTATATTTTACACTTTTTCTTAGTCATAAATGTTCTTTTTTCTCTCAGTAATTTCTGGTATATTTTCCTTAAATTCTTTGTTGTCCTCAAAAAAAAAAAAAAAAAAAAAAAATGACCTAATTTACCTTGACACTTTTAACATATTTGGCTGCCCAGTTGTGTATACGCAGTATATTATTGACATTCTGTTTTTTTTTTTTTTTTATTTATTTATTATTTAAATTACAGTGTTTATAATAACTAGTTCTTAAATTCGTGCAATTATTATTTGAATGAAATATGCAAGGCCCAATCTAATGTTTAGTTAAATTTAAAATTAATTCAAATTCAAATTATACCAACCCACAGTAATGGTGGGTTAGCACTCAATTTGTATATTCTAGTTATTTTTCGGCAGGTAGTTGCTGATTACTGATATTTATTTATTTATCTACTATATTTGTATAGTTAGTATGCAGTTGTTTAATTCAAAAAATATATGTAAAACACAAATGTTACATGAGACATAACATATAAACCAATATTCTGCACGCAGTTTTCATAAATATTAATCTTAATCTAATTGTTATCACCCAGCTGTGTATGCAAAAATGTAAAATTTTATTTGATTTTAAATGTGCTTAATTAAATTTAAATTTATATTAACAAATTTAACATAAATAAAACTACATAACATTTATATTTTATCCGAAAAGTGTATTTTTTGTTTACTATACTAGCATCTATTTTTTAAATCACTATAAATACCATGATTATGTGGTTCTCAAAGTCAAATAATAACACAAGATTTTCCTAGGAACGGTTTAATTTCAAACTATACCAAATGACAATAAACATAAATTAGGATTGTAAGCCCAGAAAAATATTTAAAAAGAATAAACTCACTACATGTGTACTACATTAATATATGAAATAATTTTTAATTTAATAGTTATGTTCATGATTTTCTATGCCATACCAAATTTTTATGGTGAAATCAAACATCTTATTCAAGATTTTGTATTGGTTAGCATAATATAGTACCCAGAATATAATAACGATCCATGCTAACCACAAGAAATAGTTAGTATCAAGATTTCTAAATCCAAAAATAGGCTTCACAAAATCGGATACCGTAATTTCAACCATTTCATTAGGATAGAGACCTGTAAAAAAATAAAATAAATATTAATAACATAAGGTGGATCTATTTTAACACGTATATTTGATATCTCGAAAGTATTTCTTTTTCTCAATTTTTTTTTTTTGTAAATTTAAGAAACAAACAGCTCTAAAATGTTACATTTACATTATTTTTTGCACTTAAGTTTTTGGAAATGAATCAACTACCTACTTTTGATTTTCAAATGGCAACCTATATTAAAAGTTTTTATCTACAGGTTTGCTGTCATAAAATAACTATTAAGTTGCATATTAATGTTTTGTTATATTAAGTAGTTGAAATTAAATATAATGTCGTTAAATGATTACAAATTGGAAGACTTTTGATGATAGATAATTGTATATTGCTCCAGACAACACAATTAAATATTATGTGCATAATGAAGATTATGATGTTATTTGATATTATACAATATATAGGATGTTTATTTATTCATTGGGCAAGGTGATTGAAATAAAATGAAACACGTGGTAAACACAAAATACAAAGATATCATTAGAGATATGATTATACTATACTTAAATAGTTGTGAATTGTAGCAAACAAAATAAAATTGAGAATACAGCTAAGAAGTGTTGGTTGTAAAACCAACTATAGGGTTTTCCAATTAGAGCGGGCCGATCTTATCTGCGCTGTATAGCCTTATCGTTTTGTTGACGTCTGTCTAATTTGTTGTTTATTATTCAGTCACTAATGCCAAATCATCATGGTTAGTTACACTATAGAGCAGCGCGTCCAAATTATAAAATCTTATTATCAAAATAAATGTTCGGTAGTTCAAACGTTGCGCTCGTTAGGTCCATTTTTTTGGCCGACGTAGTGATCCTTCAAAGTCGACTCTCCAACGTTTGGTGTCGAAATTTGAGACAACTGGTTCGGTAAACGATCAGTTAACACCCGTACGTCAAAGAAACGCCAGATCGGTCCAGAATATCGCCGCGGTACGTGAAAGTGTGCAGGAGAACCCGAGGCAGTCAATTCCTCGCCGTGCACAAGAACTCGGGTCTTTCACAGTCTTCAACTTGGCGAATTTTGCGCCGGGACTTGAGCTTACACCCATATAAGATCCAACTGACCCAGGAGCTCAAAATTAATGACCATAGACAACGCCNTTGGATGAATGGCTATGTTAACAAGCAAAATTGCCGTATTTGGGACAATACCAACCCACACGAGGTTCAACAGGTAACAATGCATCCACAAAAAGTTACTGTTTGGTGCGGATTTTGGGCTGGCGGTATCATTGGTCCGTACTTTTTTGAAAATGACGTTGGTGAGGCCATCACCGTCAATGGTGAGCGATACAGAACGATGATAACCGATTTTGTTTTTCCCAAAATGAACGGTATGGACGTAGACGACATGTGGTTTCAGCAGTATGGCGCTATGTGCCATACATCCAACGCCACGATAGCCATTCTGAACGGCAAATTTGAGGGTATGGTTATCTCTCGCCGAGGAGACGTGAATTGGCCACCAAGATCGTGTGATTTGACCCCATTAGACTTTTTCTTGTGGGGTTTCCTGAAGTCGCAGGTCTATGCCGATAAGCCGAAATCGACAGATGACCTTAAAGTGAACATAACCCAGACCATCGCTCAAATTCAACCGGATCTATGCGGCAGAGTCATTGAAAATTGGACCACTCGGATTCGTGCCACTGTGAGAAGCCGTGGCGGACATTTAAACGATATTATATTCAAAACATAATTGGCATACTTAGAACTTTAAAATAAAAAAAAAATTTCACTAATACCTCGTACATAGCTTGTTTTATTTCATTTCAACATCAACCCGCTCTTATTGAAAAACCCTTTATATCTTCTGAAATTAATTTTTGCTGTCAGACAGACCTTATAGCCTTACAAAATATATACTACTTTGTCCATTAAAACAAAAACGTTCTGAAGTAGCTTACTACTCACTGCTGAAGTGGTCTATAATTAGATATTTTCTTAACTTTCGGAGCACCAGCAATTTTACAATATGGTTGTAACTGAAATATTTGTTATGTGGTCAGAACTTATAATAGTTCATGGTAAACTATTTGGTCGCAAAATAAAAAAGAATTGGGGGATAAAATGTATCCATTTTGTGAAAAACCATTCATAACACTAAGGAATAATATGTTCATCTTACAATATGAGGTTTGGTATAAAATCTAAAATCAGATTAAAGAGTACACTTCTGGTAAACAATATAATAAGTGATTTTAAAGTTGAAGAAAACCTTGAAACAACTCTTAATTCTATTTCCACTATGTAGAACAGTAAAAATAACTGTAATGATGTACAGGAAAACTAAATTAAATTAGGAAAATAACTTCATGTATCCTACCCTTTCAACTTCCTAGATATTTATAAATTAATTAATTTTATTATTTACTATTTATTACACTCAAAACGGCCAAACAGATGAAGAAACCTCTATTGCCCTATTGTCATCACTGAAAACAACCAAAATAATTATAATGAGGACATAAAAAACAAAGAAGGTACCTATATAATAGTTTTCATTTATTAAATGAAAAACAATTTTATTTTTCTGTCTGTAATTTATACATTAATAATGCTATTTTATTTATCTTCGGTCTTAAGAATAAAATCTATTTGTAATAATAAAACTGAATCACTTGAAAAATTGAAAAATGCAAAACATAAAAATGAAGCAAGCTCCTGAAAATAGTTTTCATCCTGGCGAAGTTAGTCAGTCAGTAACAGTTAAAATTCCAGATGTCGATAGGCCATGCTCATTGTAATTTTAGAAACATTATTGGAGTTTATCTTTCAGGTACTTACCTAAGAATATTTACAGAATCCTAATTTAGAATGAAATTATAAAAGTGTATTTCTTTTGTATTTACAATTGATAATAAAAAGAAACATTTCCAGAAATTGATGATATGCCAAGAACAAAAATTTCATTCAGAGAGACATCACAGAATTTATCAAATTTAACAAACTGCGAGGCTACTATGTGCATTAAAATGGCACAGAAATAGTACATGTGACAATTAGACACTTTTTTTTTTCTTTATACATATTCTAATGTTTAAAGAAAAAAAAAGTATTGTAACTATTTAATATAATAATAATATAATTTAATCTAATCAAACTTAATTACCTAACCTACAAAATCTATATTAATTAATTATATATTAGGTAATCAAAATTTGTATAAAATCTATATCCATATAAAAAACATAAATAAGTTATACTATTGATATTTACAAAGTCTATATTCCCAAATTATATACTTTGCTCCTAACAAATATGTATACAGAGTCCCACAATGATTTGCTACTTGAAATAACTTTTGTTCTATATAATATTTTTAATATATTCTTTTTTTTTTAAATAATTAGTGTGTTTCTGCACTAGAGTAAACATAAAATTATTATTATTATTATTTTTTTTTTTTTGGTGGGAACTTAAAATTTAAAACTGCTCAGTTATTTTTTTATATTAATTCAAAATAGCCATTTTGTTAAATACATTTTAGAACATTTATGATGATTGAAACTTTTGTTTAGGTATATCCTTTTAATTCCTACAATTTTTTTAAAGTTTTGGCAAATGTGAATATTATTGTGGTTTATAATCTATTAAAATATTTAATCAGTAGTCAGTAGTATTGTTTTATGATATTAACTTAAATCAATGAAAATCCATATAATTTGATGAGCTTTGACTACCATTAAATATTTTAATAAATTATAAATCATAATATTATTCACATTTGTCAAAACTTCAAAAAATTATAGAAAATAAAAGGCTATACCTAAACAAAAGTTTCAATCATCAAATTTTTCCTATTTTGCAAAATAGCTATATTGATTTTTTTTAAAAGCATTTTTTATGTTTTGTTTTAAGTTCTCTCCCTTCCCCGCCCTGTTCTTTCCTTGAAGTATTGATCTGGCTATAGGCATGGCTGAGAGTGGCTTTGATATGCAATTAAGTATTTTAAAATATTAGCCACCATCTATAACTAAGAACAATTTCCACTTATGATATGGTTTATTTTAAATCATTTAATATTAGTTCATTTATGTTTAATAAAATAATAAATTAAAAAAAAAAATTATTAAATGGTTTATACTCGTAAATAAATATATAAATTATTGATTCATATTTGTTAAAAGAGAATTAAGCATTAAAATTAAAATTTTACATACCTGTATAATACATAACAAATTCAGTGAAAGTTTGTATTGTGTATTCAATGTCCTGATAATCAGCAAAAAGTTCACCATTGTGATACAAAGCTAATGTAGGTAATTCCCTTAAATTTTCCTTTGTCTTCTGAATCATCTAGTGAATGAACAAATTAACAAAAGTTATTTATTTAATTTATTAGTTATAGTTTTAATGTGCAAATATATGTATTTCTTACATTGGCGATATTAAAAGCCACCATTTTAATTTGAGGAAATATTCTTGGAAATATATTAAAATGAGGTGCTGCCAAAATGCTTAATTCACATGAACTATCATAGAACAAAACTAATGTACAAAGAGCTGAAGTATTCCAATCAATTATGTTTGGATCAAATTTCAAGATATCATCTAGACTGCTTTGTGAATAAACAATCTAAAGAAAACCACATAATACAAATTCACCAATAAAATATAAAAAAATTTATATAGTTACATTGTTACAATTTAATACAAAATAAAAACATGCAAATTATAAATATTAATATTGATTTTTCAGTGTAGAACTATGATGATTGAACATGTTAGTTACAATATTTAAAAATAGAATTCTGTCAAATCGTCTAAATCAATAGGTTTGCAATTTAATAATATTTATGTAATTGTATATATATATATATTACTTATAAATATCAAAATGTGTGCAACAAATATAATGAGGTGAAATTTAAGACTATTAATTTAAAAATTGTTCATTGACAGCCTACAATTTGAATAAAATTAAAATTGATGCTTGTGTTGTTAATGTTCCAATTTATTGGAATTTAAAACCCTTGTAATGTAATTGAATATACATAGTGAATGTAATTCATAATATCTAAATTTATTATTTTTGATTTATACAAATTTCAAGAAACTATTATAATATTTAGAAACTATTTATTCGGAAATCTTTAATAAATTATGATCTCCAAACAAATTGTAAACTTTAAATTGATTACTAATAAATATGAAGGAATATCTACTACTCTTGAGTTTTAACTATCAAACAAGTTACCTCAACAGAAGTGTCAGTCTGATTCAAAAGTACAGAATTGGTACAATTGACTCTTTCTGTATCATCATGACCACAATAGTCGGCTGTACAATTAAAAGTTAATTCGGGAAATAATGGTAGGCTATTATTTTCACTGGAGAAAAATTCTGCTTGTAGAAATGATGACACTAATGATTTAAATTCCAATTCTTTGTTGCTATGTTTAGAGTTAGTTGTTAAGGAAGCTTGCATAGTATATTCATCTTCCATTCTTTTCTATTACATTTGTTTAGAAAATCAATTAATGGCTAATATTTATAAGTCTATAAATAAAAAGTATTATACCTGAACATTTTGAATGACATTACTAATTGATTTGATATCCCTGAAATAAGTCACTTGCTGTGCAACTGTGAATTTTTTTGGAGAATTTGGTAGTTCCAATGATCCAAATTTACTATCATCAATGTGCAAATTTTCTTCCGAATTAGCTGTATTATAATTTTAAACGTTTTTTTTATACAATTTATAATCAAGTAGGTACCTTTATATAGATAATAGTAATAGTGTCTTACCATAATGTGTTAATATACAAACAGATAATAATGACAAAATATTTGGAAAATACATTATTTTATACTGAAACTTTTTTTTACGGTTATTTATGTATAAACTTTACGCATAGAGCACAGTTAAGTTGAATTAATTATATTTTGATTTTATAATAGATCATCAGATATGTAACTGAAAAAATCTATTGACTTATATTTAATTTTAAAAGTCTTTAAAGATATATTACAAATTGATATAGTTTACACCGCGAGTAAAAACTACTAGAAATCACAACAAACAAATAAATATAATCCTAAAATAATGTTTTCTGTGTTTGGTGAGCGTCACAGATATATTATGATTAAAGCCCGTGACACACAACGCTTTTTTTGCTGCTTGGTCGCCAGCTGGAAGCAGTGATAGTAACCTTTATAGCTGTACTTCCGGATGGCGTTGGCATCACATATTGATTGTTGTCGTGCTGGTTTTTTATATCAAACTACTTTAAAGATATCTTTAATCGTGATCCACAGATATATAAAACAACTAGATAGCCGACTTTGGTATTATTATTGTCACTAATAAAATGGTCGCCATCCTTATCTGAGCGTGAATGTTTGTGTTTTATAGTATTAATAAGACATGATGTTATAATATTTAAATAGCACGGTATAAGTTATATAGGACTTTGCGCGAACATTGTTGGAGGGTGTGGGAGAGTGATTATGAAATGTCATAGAACGGGCGGAGTACGGGTGAATTCGCCTTTCTACCTGCCTAGCGCCGTTTTAGTGAATACTTATAGAAATATAAAGATCACGAACTATGATATACATTACACAAATAACAATAATAACTATTATAGCTTTAGTGTTTAGTACAGTAATCCAAATATGGCGTCACTTGTCGAATGAATTAGGAGCACAGACACATGATATTGACGTTTGCCCCTCTCGCACTTTTAAGCTAGACACGAGTTTACATCATTTGTTACCAGCAATACTTGATATGTTAAAATGTAAAAAACAGTGTAGGAACATCAATATTAGTAGTATATTGGGGACATGCATTCATGCCTATATGTTCGGTAGAATTACAATATGTTATAAGAAACAAACCTAAATTAATATCATTATTAATTAATAACAGTACTACATTCATATTAGGTCTAAGCGAATGCACACAGTAGAACTTAATCAAAAGATCAAATATAACTGAAAATATGGTTAAAAAAGAGAGCACAGCATGTGAGGAAACATAAATTCATAAAGAACAATGGCGAAATACTTCAGGATATAGGATTATTTCCGAATAAACATAAATTAAGAATCAATAAAAATATAACAAGCACTATACCCCACCGAAGAGACTTCTCCAACAGAGGAAGTATATAGAGGATTTAATCAACTACTAAAATAAAATATCATATCCATTGTATCCATTAATATAATAATATTAATGAAATAAATATTAATTCCATAATATCCATTGTATGTTTATATACATACAGTATGTATGTATTACAATAGTTGGCATTGATAATGAAATAGGTACAAATGTTTAATTTTTTTTAAAAACATTCAGAAAAAAGTAATAATGTAAAAGAATAAAAGGTATCAAATATTCAATATCGACTATTACCATTGTGCGACGCAATTTTTTTTAGTAATTTTTAATTGTTCTTATTATTGCACTACTAATAGAAGTAATAGTTAGAACAAAATATTACTAAAGATATATTAATTTTTTGAAATGCACCAAAAGTTTTCAATAATACATGCTTAATAAATAACCAAAGTAAACCAAGGTAATAAACAAACAATTTTAGTTTGAGTAAAGGCTTTTCAATTTTAAAACGTACAATCACACTGTCTTTTTTTAATATTATACATTCACTAAAATCATTATTGTTTATTTTTAACTGCTTGTATTTTAACCTGTGGACAGTAATTTAATGGTTATCCGGGTTATATATTTTAAATAGTAGACTCCTAATTCCGATTGGTTTACACTAAAATCAATTTTGTTTATTTCTGTAATCTTAAATTTGAAAAATTTGTACAGAAAAAAAGGTTTATTTAAGAATCGCTTGTAGTACAAAGCTTAACTTTTAAAAACTGAAACAGTTCTCTCTGTAATACAATTATGAGAATAATAAGAAAGAGTTAAAAAATATCATTAACTTGCCCAATGCCAATCCTCGCCATTATATAAACCAATAAATAAAAATATTGCACATTTGTCATTTCACAAATCGCAACTATTTTTTTGCATAAAAAAAATATATTTACTTTTCAGGATAATGTTGGTAGAAAAAAAAAAAACCATTTAAAGATTATAATTTAATACATTTATAGCAATCCAAGTAAATTAAATTTTTTGTATAATTTAATAGTTCATCAATATTAATAATATAGTACAGAAAATAATCTTCTCTAATCTATACTGTGTTGACAATATCACATTTTTTTTAACGAGCGGTTAATAATAAATTGCAACTTCCAAAATGATAAGATGAAATAAATAGATTATTTATCAAGATTGCCCAAAATATATACAAATACTAGTTGTCCCGACTGCCGTTGCCTGTGCCAATTTTTCATTTTTTTTTTACCCATATTCCTTTGGTTTTGACCATGTCAGTTATGAATAAAAACAAATAAGTAGAAAGTAAGTATTCTACAGACTGAAAAAGTTCTGATAGGGCATTTTCATACAAAAAGTATCGAAACAATGAATTTTATTTTATTATAATGTTTTTTTTTCCGGGGGGGGGGGATTGGTGGATTTCAAAGGAAGAGAAATCTAACCTAACAAATTAGAGAGTGGGGACACTCAATATCGAGAATGCGTATGTACCGTATTATAGCCAATTGTCACTGGTTAATCGTTTTATTTTCTCTATGATATCGTAATCAAAATTGCCCCTCATTCTGAGCAGTCTATATTGGATTTCTTTTTGGGCATTTTGTCAGGTATATTACAAATTGATATAGTTTACACCACGAGTAGAAACTACTATAAATCACAACAAAAAATAAATATAATCCTAAAATAATGTTTTCTGTGTTTGGTGAGCGTCACAGATATATTATGACTAAAGCCCGTCACACACAACGCTTTTTTTGCTGCTTGGTCGCCAGCTGGAAGCAGTGATGGTAACCTTTATAGCTGTACTTCCGGATGGCGTTGGCATCACATATTGATTTCCGTAATATTACTTAGGAACCACCAACCTAGTAATGTTGCAGAGTTGCTTCATAGAATCGAGGTTCCGCAGTCAGTAACATGACGACGGCGCCGACTTTCAGCACCAATTTGTACGGTAGGAGTCCGTCCGGTTCCAGCGTGTTGAGAAACTATATATTTGGGATAATTGTCTACTTCGTTAAGGTCACCGACTACTGTGGTGTCGATGGCGGTGTACATCTTGGCGTTACCCACTACGCGAGCGTCCAACACTACACAATTTACTTCTTTGCAATCATCGTTTCTAGAATAGACAATAATTTTCCTAGCAAAATCGTCAACGTTGGCCAACGACATTTACGGATAAACCAAATTCACTACTTCCAATACGTTACAAACTATTTCCGGAGGAATCACAACGGCGTCCAAAACAACGTCTGTCCTGTGTTAATTTGCTGTTACCGAGCTTGAGTAGCCAGGCGGAAAAGTGCTCGTCGTTGTCAGTGCGCACGTTTCGCGTTAGACTGAATCGCTCCATGTGCCGCCACATACGGTTGTATTTGATTGATGATCTGATGATATCGCTTCTCGTACCTCGGCGGAAGACCGGCAATATCTGTCGATAATTGCCGGTGAACAAAATAGATTTACCTTCAAACGGTAAATCAGATTGCATGACGTTCTTCAGCAAGCGATCAACCACGGAAAGTTGCATTCCCGGCGGTATGGGCGCTTCATCCCAGACGATGAGTGCTGCGTCCCGTATTCTCTGCGCGCGGGCAGATTGCATGGTGATAGTCGACATCGAATTCAGCGTTCCGAACGGCAATTCTAACACCGCCAATCCACCGTCCATGAGCATAGCAATGATTTATGTGAAAGGCACAGATAAAGCGGACCTACCTCTGTTGCGAAAAAACCGTATGAGACAGCCGTACAGTACTGATTTTTCGGCCCATCCCGGATCGAACTATTGGACCCAACGTTCCACCGCATCTATTTTACCGAAAATCCCGTCGTCTGTTTTCGGTTTGAGTAGTGTCACGTCGATCAGTGGCAACCCGAAGCCTGGCAAAGTTTTTTCGTGGGCCCGCAGTAGGTCTCCAATGGCGTCTAAACATGCTGCCCTCGTGCGATCTTCGTTTTGAAAACGCCTATTGAAGTTTTCCATCAGGTTCTCCTCGTTCGCTCCGAACAATGCAAGGGGTTCAGCTGGCTGATAAAACAAAAGTATATTTACGAACAGATATCGTACCTGATACGTAATGACCAACGTTGTCAATTCCGCCAAGGAATCTCACCAGAATCTTGGTCGTCTTCCAGCAGTTCGAGCGTGACGGCCGCGGCTGCGTATATCTGATACATGACAACGTCGACCGTCCTTTTGTCTTGGAACGACTGTGGGCCTCTCCAGTATAAAAAAGCAACCACGGGTGATATCGGTCATGGTCTAAAGGGTTTATGACGTACATCTAAGCCAACGTATCGTTGGCAGTGGTCCTCTGTCGCAATCTCCATTGTCTGGCCGGCGCGTTCCAAGTGTAGTGCGCGGGTATTTTGTGGTACAGATATTGTATGGCGTTTTCGTCTACTCGATCATTCAGTTCGAAGAAACCCGTGTGCTTGGTGTAACTGAGGGCCGCGTTTTGTATACGCTCTTTGAACTCTCCCGGTGTGAAATACACGTTGTGATAGCCTTCCAAAGCACATGAAATCGAACGACCGTGTGACTCCGTTTATGCATTTCGTACGAAAATAATCGCCAAATTCCTTTCGCCGAACTAATTTAACGTAAATTCAGGAAACTTAAATAAACAAAAAACCAGTAAGTTTATAAAAATCGCGTTTATAATATAATATATTTGTACACCTTTCTATTTCGTTCGCGTTCAAAACCGACAGCGTAGCCGCGTCATGGCCTTTACACACGAATTATGCAAATACATTACGCTATTCATGATTGAGCCAACCTCAACGTTAATGTGCGCGTCATATTTGGCCAAGTACGGATCGTTTGGGACGACAAACTCGTTCCCGATTTCGTGGTTTTTGACGTTGACTGTGTGATTGTTTTCGGGACTTCATTATGTTGGATAATCGCCGTCTGAACACCGTCTCGTCGCTATATTCTTTCGGATACTTTTTGGAACAACTGCCGTCCATTATACGTTGTTGAGATTCAATGGTCCACACGGCTCGTGAATCATGTGTGACGACACGGCCGCGTGTAACTGCCTCTCGGTTTCAGGATGCGGCAGATAGGTGCGAATAACGTTGCTGATGTCGTCCGCCGTTTGAAACTTGTAGTCTTCCAGCAGGAGGATCAAGATTTGTGTGTACGGTAGTCCGCATTTCTGAAACTCAATGGTGTAAACATACACGTTTATATTACCGAATATCTCATTATTTGTTATGTCTCGCTTTAGCTCTGCGAGTTTAGCGTGGAAAACTCTTCCCATCAAATCCGGTTGGTCGTTCGCCGTCCTACAGCGGGTGAGGTTTTGTTGGATTTCCGACACCTAGAATTACACGAAACGTGATAGACAGGTCGGGTTTATCGTACTTACGCACTATGGCAATCGCGTCGTGATAGCACTGTTTTATATAACGGGGATTCCCCGCGAAGGTTGAAAGCAAAGTTACCCTATGACCGGAGGCCTCGAAGTCCGGCGCATTTAAGTCGTGGTTCTGATTAATGTGGTGCATAAGCGCCTTGATAGGCGTTCGTGAAGAGCTGAGTTTGATGTTTTTCGACGTACACCAAGTTGTTCGCTTCCATCCGAACGTACTGGTCGCATACGTATTGCTGAAACAAAAAACCCCCATTGTGTAAAAGACTAAATTCTCAGTATCTAGTATCGTTGTTTCCTCGGTATCGAATTGCAATACGATAGCACGTAAACTCCCGGATGCTAATCCGCGTTCGCAGGCGTGTTGAATGTCTAACTTCGTTCTCTATATAGGAAAATCAGCGGATACAACATAGGATCTCCATGACACGATCCGGACGGTATGTTTTCCATTTGGTAACCAGGTAGATTTTGATTCGTGTCATTGATGACCAGATCAACGTTTCTCGGCAGTCGACCGTTGTCGCCGACAAACATCATCGATACCTCGTTTGCCGCCGGAGCGATGTACCGACGCCGGTCTCTACTTGGATTGTCGATAAAATGCATGACCACCCTTCTCGGTTTCCTCTCGGGATGTACTTCGACGGATTCTTGTTCCACCGTCCAGATCTGATGCATGTTACTACAACACAATAATACATTTAAATATATGTTTTGTTTTTTTGTAATATATAAATATATATATATATATATATATATATATGTATACTAGCTGTCCCGCGCTTAGCGTTATCCGTGCCAATTTGTATTATTATTATTTTACCCACATTCATTTTTAGTTTTTGCCGTGTTAGAATAAAAATAAATGGATAGAAAGTTCAGCACCCTGTTTGGGTTTTATAAGTTAAAGGCTACCATTTGGCATAGCAATAATACCAGAAATTTTTTTTAAAATTAAACCAAAAAAAAACTTTTGGGATTTAAGCCGTAATGAAATAATTATTTATTTTAATGATATCTTGATTGCAATAGAAAATTTAAAGAATCATGATAAAATCATCAATTAAATAACTATCCTAAAATAATGTTTTCTGTGTTTGGTGAGCGTCACAAATATATTATAATTAAAGCCCGTCACACACAACGCTCTTGGTTGGGCGCTGAGTTAACAACCCAGCCTCGTAAAAAGACTTATGTTCAGGAACCAAACAAAAAGCCTCGGATTAGTGGAGCTTAGGAAAACAAAAATGGAAACTGGAAATCGGAAATATAAAAAGAATTAATAAAAAGAAAAGGACGACTTCTATGATGAATTAACGAACGTAGTAGATGGAATACCTAATAAAAGAATAGTGGTCATATTAGGAGACCTAAATGCAAAAGTAGGAAAAGAATTAATATTTAAACCAACCATTGGCCACCATAGCTTGCATGAAGTAACTAACAATAATGGACTCAACCTAATCGACTTTGCAACGAGAAAAGGATTGGTGATCAAGAGCACAATGTTTCCCTATAAAAAAATCCATAAGGGAACATGGAAGTCACCAGATGGGAATCATACGAATCAAANCAATTATTTTAAACTATCTCACCTATATTTTTCATAAAAAGAAATTAATCATTTATTTTTTTAAATGTTATTGGTAAGAATTATATAAGAATTTAATCGACTTTGCAACGAGCAAAGGCTTAGATCAAGAGCACAATGTTTCCCCATAAAAAGATCCATAAGGGAATATGGAAGTCACCAGATGGGAATCATACGAATCAAATTGACCATGTACTAGTTTAATGACAGGTTCAAAAACAGTATTACGGATATTAAAACGACGCGAGGATTGGACTGTGACTCTGACCACTATTTGGTTAAGGTAAACATTAAAGCAAGACTGAAGGTAAGGGTGGCAACAAGAGTAANCATACGAATCAAATTGACCATGTACTAGTTAATGACAGGTTCAAAAACATTATTACGGATGTTAAAACGATGCGAGGAGCGGACTGTGACTCTGACCACTATTTGGTTAAGGTAAACATTAAAGCAAGACTGAAGGTAAGGGTGGCAACAAGAGTAACGATTATTGACAGATATGATATAACTAAGTTCACAGATGAAGTTTGCCAAAAACGTTTTAAAAGTGAGATACACAAACGCAGCAGGGAATTAGATATAGCTAGTATAGGCTCAACAAATAATATGTGGAGGAGAGTACAGGACACAATAAAAGAAACATCAGCTGAAGTCCTGGGCAAACCAAAAAACACCAAAAAACCTTGGTTCAATGAGAGGTGAGAGAAAGCCCTAAATCAAAGGAAAAAATTTAGAAACTTGTACCTTAATGATCCTTCCCATGAAGAAAACAAAACGAAATATAATGAAAGCAGAAAAGAAGCAAGTCGAATCTTTAAGTATGAAAAAAGAGTCTATACGCAAAACATTTTTAAAGAAGCAGGAAAATATCACAATGAACATAACACACACCAATTATACAAAAAAACCAATACATTAATGGGAGGTTACAAAAAATATGAAAAGTTCCTAGTAAAGGAAGATGGANCTCTGACCACTATTTGGTTAAGGTAAACATTAAAGCAAGACTGAAGGTAAGGGTGGCAACAAGAGTAACGATTATTGACAGATATGATACTATACGAAAAACATTTTGGAAGAAACAGGAAAATATCACAATGAACATAACACACACCAATTATACAAAAAAATCAATATACTAAGGGGAGGTTACAAAATATATGAAAAGTTCCTAGTAAAGGAAGATGGAACACTAATTACTGCCCGATCAGACCTTGTAGAGAGATTCAAACATCTTCTTAACTGCAACGACCCCATAGAAACCTTTACTTGGACAAGGATAGAACCCAACCTAAACGAATGTACAACATCCTCAAAACAAGAAGTTGAACTACAAATAAGGCGACTGAAGAACTATAAATCGCCTGGTGAGGACGGTATACAAGGTGGGATTATGAAAATGCTGGACGAAGTTTCATTAACACATATACATAGGTTACTAACCAATATTTGGGAGAAGGAAGAACTACCGGAAGGTTGGANGCATACGATTCCGTCCACCGACATAGCCTTATAAACATATTAAAAGTGTTTGAGTTACCAAATAAACTAATAAAATTAATTGAGGCCACTCTGCAAAATACAGAAATCAAAATAAAGGTAGCATCGGAATTGCCAGAGCCAGCAACGGTAAGGACAGGCCTAAGACAAGGGGATGCGCTATCACCAATATTGTTCAACCTTATATTAGAAAAGTTAATCAGAGAAACGAATTGTATTGGGAAACTTGAACATAAATATATTGGCTTATGCGGACGGTATATCGATATTAGGAGAAACTGAAGAAACGGTTAAACAAGTATGCAGGAAACTCATCATGATGGCTAGTAAGGTCGGACTGGAGATAAACGACGAGAAAACAGAGTACATGATATTCAGTCGCCAGGACAGAGATTATCAACAAGGTCAATCTATGAATGTAGAAGGGCGTGTATTCAAAAGAGTCAAACATTTCAAGTACTTGGGGCACCTACTAACACAAGATAATGACAGTTATCTGATAATTGAAGTCAGTGCTAGGATACAAAAAGGCAACAAAAATTTTTTTGGTCTTGGAAATGTACTGAGCTGAAGAACATTATCGACTAACCTGAAGATACAAATGTACATGACCCTGATACGACCCATAATACTGTATGCCGCGGAATCATGGTCACTTAGGAAAGCAGAAGAAACCAGAATAAAAGTATTGAAAGGAGAATCCTACGGAAAATCTACGGCCCATGCTTCGACACAAAAATAGGTGAATGGCGTAAACGTCATAATAAAGAACTCGAAGAGATATTCCAGAGACCGAACATCGCGAACGAAATCAAGAAAAGGAGATTAACCTGGGCAAGACATGTATGGCGGAGAGTAGGATCCATAGCCAGAACAATCGAAGAGAACCCGGTTGGTAAGAGACCCCTCGGAAGACCACGCATACGTTGGGAAGACTGTGTTAAAAGAGACGCGGAAAGTATTGAACCAGAGATACCATGGAGAGTAGCGGCAGAAAATAGAGATAGATGGAGAGAAATTTGTTTGGCGGTATGGTCTCAATGACCGTAAACCAAAAAAAAAAAAAAAAAAAATTAGCTTAACCTTCAACTGCAGGAAATTTCATTACTATATNTACGGGAGGAAAATCACAGCCCTAACGGACCATAAAAATATAAGTGTGGCATTCTTACTTGGCTAAAGATAAATTAAGACTCAAGCGGGTCTAAAATAGGTTTCTTTCCAACACAGGCCATATCCTCAAAAAAGTACATCCATTACATGACTACTCCTTAATTCGTAGTATATTAGAAATTTCATTACATTCATTTCGCCGAAAAGACGTGTAATTTATTTCTTCACTCTTAAGAGGCACCATGGATGCTCCCAATCTCATATCAAACGTAAGTTTTCGTATCCCTTTCTTCTTCTCCAGACATCATTCCTTCTTCTTAGTACCAGACCATAGTACATCTTACAATAATAAACATTATTTACATAGAATGCTTCGTAATTTAAATAGCCTTAATTTTGATTTCAACCATAAACATTAAATATACGGCTAGTTGTAATGTTTTTATATTAAAATACATTTTTATTTATTAATTTTTTTGTAGGGTAGTAATATTTTCATTGTTACTGTGTATTATTAGTATTATATTATAAATAACTATCACTTGTAAACCAAACCATAAATGTAATCACAAAATTGCTGAATGGTGTTTATAAATAAATAAATAAATCATTATTTGCCAAAATGAATATAACTGTATCAAAAATTCCGTCCAACTGCTTACAAAAAATGAGATTGATACTGCTTGAGTGTGACATTGATATTAAATATTTACTGGGCAGGTACATGCACATAGCAAACTTACTGTCAAGGAACCTATATGTCCAGAGTACGAGTATAAAGGAATTATCCATTTTATTAGCCGATACAACAAAAATAACAGCATCTGAAATAACAAACAAGAAACTATATCAGATCTCATAATCAATAAACTAATAGAATATTATTATAATTGCTGGCCTAGTAGAGAAAAAATTGATAACAAACTATTACTGTTTCATAACATAAAGAGTGAAATCATTGTAGAGGATAATAGGTATTGTTTATTATAACTACAAAATAATAATACCGTACAGTTTTCACTCATTATTACTAATAATTTTAGAGTGTAGCGAAGAATGTATTGGTTTTACAAAGATGTTTATTTATTTATTTTTTTCATGTGAACACTTTCTACCAGAAAGTTTACAACGATGTATAAGATACGGACTTTTTCTGAAAGTAAATTTTCTTAGGGTGGTACTTTGGGGATATTATTTTTTTGATTTTCTCATTAATATTTGAGATAATGAGGGAAACCTGGTTCTTAAGGTTAAAAAAGATTGAAAGATTAAAAATAAGGTTGTCATTGGTAACCGTTTTTTATTATTTTTTTTTTTGTAAATATTAAGTTTTTATTATTTTAATCTTTTTTAAACAATCATTGTTGGGATTCAATCAAAATCGGGGAAAACGAGAAAATCGGTACAATATTAAATCAAAAAAATTATAGAATACATAATACCTATTTAATTATTTTACTATAATATGACATATATATTGTTGACAAAGCATCACTATCAAGTATCAAATGAACTCCACTTACAATCGTTTTTTCGTTAGCAATGAGTTATCGTTGCTTTTTGATAGCATCGTATACATTAAATTCCCTTCTACTTTCCCAACTTCCTGTCTACAACAGTGGCTGCACCCGTCCTCTTTACCATATTACAGCTTTTATTATTTGAAAATATATAAATAAAATAATCAAATATTGTCAGTTGATTGTCAGTTTGGAGTAATGCTTCTATGGTTGTGTTAATGTATGTTTAACCCTAGGATTTTTGTTTGAATATTTATTATTTTTATAAACCAATGTAATCTTATCATATAATATTTAAAGACTGCTTATATCTTGTTAAATTAACACCAACGTATAAGAAAAGTAATATACTCATAGTACTCACACAATAAATTATACTTCAAGTTCATAACAAGATGTAATATAATTTATTGTGTGAGTACTAAGAGTATATTAATTTTTTTTTTACGTTGGAGTGAATTTAAAATAAATATATTCGTACTATTGGTTAATATTACGAAGTAATGGGTACTTTCCTAAATTGTTTGTTACATTGTGTAAGTAAGTAATTCACATTGTACTGATGTATTGTTCATTGGAATCAGTCTTTCCTTTAAATCACCAATCAGTTGCCAATTTGTTGGTCCCTTTTTGCATACACCTTTTTGGTCCTATAATGGTCAATGGAGTTGTGTGATAATGATCCTCCTTTTTTGAAGCTTATAACTCCCCTAAGTTTACAAGTTCTTGTACCATAAATAAGAAGTTTTGGAATGTTTATGATGAACCATTGCTAATGAAAAATACAATAAATAAATACGTTATACACATTTACGATTTGAAAATAATACTTTTCGTAAGTTTTCCTGTTTTTCCTACGTTTTATCTCAGTTTTTCCCATATATTATGAAAACTGAGGAAATTAAAAATTATCTCCTTAATGTACCATCCTAATTTCCTTTCAGAAAGACTGCTACACTTCAAAATTTCTGGTAGAAAAATTGTTCAACGAAAAAAAAAAATTAAAATAAACATTACTGTAAAATCAATCACTGTAAAAAAAAGTCTCACTCCGCTCAGAATCTATGAAGTTCTATTTAAAGTCTAAACGTTGACAGTAGTCAACAAAGTATTGCAAACCATTTATTTTGCCTTTCATAGTTTGGTATATTAAATGCATGAATGCATTATTATTAGTTAGGCAATTTTTAGTGAATGTTATAGTTTCTTTTTTTTTTTTTATTTCATATGGTGTTTTGATGAAAAAAAAACGTACATAACTAATAACCTAATAACTGATAAAATTTAAATTAAATATACCAAATCTTAAACTATTAAATAAATAAAAATAGTACATAAATTACTGTAGTAACATATAATTTTGATAATACTAAAATAGTAACCATGAAATAGACGAAAAAACTTATTTCCATTTCTGGAGATGCACTTTTAGGTTACGTAGCCAATCTTGTGCCTCAATGTCGCCTTTGTGGAGCCCTTCCGTTCCTCCTTCATATTTTGTTAGTGAGCATGACTCGACAATGTGTTTGATGGTTTAAATCTGCCCACATTTACAGAGTAGAAAATTTACCATTTTCTATTTATATAAAACAAACTTATATTTTCCCTGTTTTGTTCTGATACGGTTTCAGGCAGTTCACATTGCACGGGGAAGTTCAAATTCTCGAACTCTCAGAGTAGAATTGTGTTGTCATTTGAAAGTCAGTGTTCTATCTAGCTTGATTCCTAGATAACTCAGAGTATCTTCTCCTTTTATGTTGACTTCCCGAGACACTAAATTGAGTTTTCTATTTGATTCTCTATTATTTAAGTGAAAGCGATGGATACCGTTTTGGTAAGGTTGAGTGTTAGGTGCCACGATTTGAAATATGTTTGGATAATGGACAGATCTTCTTTCAGTATCTCCTCCAGTTTTTCAAGCTACTCAGCCTGAGCTACTTAACCCACGTCGTCTGCATACATACATTTTCGTGATATTGTGTTAGAATAATCAGATGTGTATATTTTAAACAATACTGGGGAAAGCACAGATCCTTGAAGGAGGCCGTTTTTTAGAAACTTGTAGATACTCTCTTTCCCATTTAAGTGTACCTTGAATTTACAGTTTAACAGTATGTTGTTGATAAGTCGTATAGATGTTTTGCACTTTAATATTTTTGTTAATTTTAAGAGAAGACCACGTTTCCAAATAGTGTCATACGAGGATATTAGGTCCAGAAAAACGGCCCCTGATTTTATTTTATTCTGAAAGCCGTTCTCTATATGCGTGACCATTGACAAAACCCGCTCACAGCAGCTTCTTCTTCATCTGAAAACCGCCTGTTCTTTCGGTAAATTGTTTTAAATTTTTTTTAGTATTCTTGTTTTTTCTTTATTATCATACTTTCAGATTTTTCTTCGCAAGCACTCAGAACTTCATTAAAATCGTTTTTTATCTTGAGTTTTTCTAACTTCGATGATTATATATTTGAAGACTTGAAAATGGTGTTTAAAATTGAATTTGGTGAAACTTTGTACTCCTTTTGTGTCGATTAGGCTACTCCTAGTTTCCTAAGCAGCGACCAACTTTCTCTACTTGAATGCGTGAAGTTAATCTTATACATTTTCTCTAACCATCTCTTTCTTCGTTCCTTATCTAGTATACGGATGAGCTTGTTTGCAGTAACATCATTTCCGTCCCTCTCATATTCTAAAAGAAATGTTCCACATTTGTTTGACCAACAGGGGGCAGTTATACCTGTGGCCTCTGGGTATCGATTTTACGGCTGCTATTTTTATAAGTTTAATAAACCTCACATAAATTTCCGGTATAGGTTTGATTCGGTTAATGTTTTCTTCAACATATTTAGTATACACAAGACACGGAAGAGGAAGATATCCTTGACGTTAAGGTCTTGACGTGTCTACAGTCTGATGAATGTTAAGGTGATGGTATCGTGGTGTTAATAATAAGATGTTTTGAATCGAGTAAGCTTTTATTTTACACATTTATAATTAATTAAATTATTATAGAAATTAAGTAATGCTTAAAAATAGAATGGACAACTACTGTTGCCGTGCAAAACTCAACAGTCACATTCATTGAAACATCGTTTGGCGACGGCGGTCAGGTACCTACGCTATGTAAACTCTAAATTAGCAAAACCTCATTCAGTGGTTCACAAGTTCACAACAATACTACTAACTCATCATTTAAGGAAGGTTCTAGTAGTGACGAATCACATGAAGATGAAACTAAAAATGATTTGACAACTAAAGTAATTAAGTATTCAGGAATTCTTGTGAAATAATCTATATATTCTTTTACTTAGAGAATTATAAAGTAATTTTCTTGGAAAATATTAAAATTTAACACTCATAAAACATATAAAAAAAGCAACGATCAACCAGTGTTATTGAAAAAATGATTTT